AAATTCTAAGCAATTTGACTAAGATTACATGCAATTTAGGTAAGAACGGGTCGAGAATGGGGCGGGCCAGAGCAGGTCGGGTCGACGAGAGGTACCCATACTTGATCCGCCCCAAAACAGGTCAAACAGATCGAATAAAACGGGTCAGGTCGAAATTGTCATCCCTAATTTGTAAGGAGGAAAGTCGAAACATTCGCAATTTGTCCTTTAATTTTTGTCCGCTTATTTATTAATAAATGGTGTTTTCTATTCCATGGAAGGATAAGTTCAGGCAATGGACTGGGAGTAGGGGTGGGCAACCGGTTCGGTAAACCCGAATCGAACCGAACCGAAACCGAATTAAACCGAACCGAAACCGAACTAATGCTATTCGGTTCGGAATTCGGAAGGAAAATATGGATATTTCGGAAATCAGGGTTCTTTCAACCGAACCGAATTTCCGAATTTCCGACCGAAAAACCGAAATACTGTAATTTCAAGCTCAAATGGTGGATATTTATGTTTGTATTTGTTTTTAGACATAAATATTTGAAATGTTTTATTACTTATGTGTTGAAAAGTTTGATTTTATCATTGATGATGCATATAATTACATATTTATTGTTTATATTAAGGGTGAAAAATAATTTAAAAGTGAGAAGATACAAGTAGCCTCTCAATTTCGGTTTTGTGTATAAAACCGAACCAAACCGAATTATAATTCGGTTTAAACCGACCGAACCGAATTTTAATTCGGTTCGAATTCGATTTGGGGTTTGGGAGAATTCGGGGACCCGGTATTCATAATTTCGGTTCGGTCGAAACCGAACCGACCGAATGCCCACCCCTAACTGGGAGGTAGTTTTTTTGGTGGAAGAACATTGTTTTGCGTCACAAATCACAATGGCAGACAGTTGGCCGATGTCCACGGGTGGGAGGTTCAAGGGGTATCTATCGAAGTAATCAATGTTGGACGACCCTGCCGTCTACATGACATTTATTTTTTAATAGGTAAAATATAATCAAAATTTTTATGTTTGTGTCAATAATAGTCAAATTTAGAAAAATACTACTTAAGACCATCTACATTCATGAAATAGCAATTCTATTTCATATGTGGTTAGGGGTGAACAAACACACCCGCAAACCGATCCACCCGTCCAACCCGATCCAACCCACCCGTATTTATCGCTAAAACGAAGGTTTTGGGTTGGGTGAGGGTTTTCTTTTGTACAACCCGCCTCTTTTGGGTTGGGTTTGGATTTTGGAATACACAACCCGTAGAACCCGACCCAACCCGTGTTCCAACTATTAGTATGAGTTCGTATCTAAAAAATATTTATGTCGTATATAGCCATACTTATGTGAAAAGTAAGATATTTCGCCATATTTTTCTATCATGGTCTCCCTAATCTAATGCATTCTCCGACTTAAAGTTTAGTCATAAATTGAATATAGTTATGATTCACGTAATCCTTTTTCTTGTGTACAATTTTAATAGAATAACATATTATGGATGCATTTGTTTATAACCTTTTTAGCCTATTTCAACAAATATCGTGAAAGAACTAGACATATGTTGAAGTAAATCACATTTTATCAAAACTCAAACAACATTGGTGAACTTTGATACCTTTCACCTCGGTTTATTTATTTGAAATTTTAATTAGTTATAAAATATTTTTATGGTGTATAATAATTATATATTTTATGTTGGGTTGGGTTTTTACTTAAAAATATCGCCAACCCGACCCAACCCAATTAGAAACAAACCGTAGGGTTTAAATTTTTTTGGGTGGGTTTGGGTTTTATAATTCCCAAACCGTAGTGCATGAGTCGGGTGATTAAAATACTTAAACCCGAACCAACCGACCCATGTGCACCCCTATATGTGGTCCCTATTGCCACATTAATAGGAATGGCAATGGGGCAGTTTCGGGGCGGGTATCTTGATACCCATACCCGTCCTATGGCAGGTCGGGTTCAGGTCGGGTAATTTATCACGGGGCGCGGGTCGGGGCAGGTCGACCCATTGGGTATGTAATATATGTGAAAAATATTAGAAATATTCGTTCTTTTCATTGAAAAACCAAGAATGAAACCATTTTTTCATTGAAAGACCAAGAAAGAAACCATAATATGATAAAATGTAGTTAAATTATTGAAGAAATTGAGGTTTTTACTTATTTACAACTTTATTATAGCTAAAATATAATGTAGTAAAAGGAAAATCTTAAGTAATTTGACTAAGATTATATGTAATTTAGGCAAGAATGGGGCGGGTCAGGGCAGGTCGGGTCGATGAGAGGTACCCATGCCCGCCCCGCCCCGCCTACGGGGCGGGTTTGACCCGCCCCAAAACAGGTCAAACAGGTCGGGTAAATCGGGTCAGGTCGAAATTGTCATCCCTACACATTAACCACTTTTTTCATTTCACTACAAATCACTTTCATTTCCTCTACATCAATGAAATCCATTATATATTTCATAGTGGGCCCACAAAACAAAAATACACTCTCTCACAACTCACAAAATATAATAGAAATGAAAAAAAATAGCACAAACGTGGGTGGAGCCCACTCTTGTATGTGAGAACTGAAGAAGGGAAGAAAGTGATGAAGAAGGGATAATAGTAATGAGAATGAGAGTAAAGAGTTGCATGGAGCAATATAAGCAGGGGAATGTTAAATGAATGAGTGTTGTGTGTCAGCTAGGCTATTTTTGTGGGTTTGACTAGGGCTGCAAATGAGTCGAGTCGAGTTTTTGCTAAGTTTGAGGTCGGTTCGTTTATAAAATTTTCAACTCAAGCTTAACTCGAACTCAAATTTTGATAGTACAGCTCGAGTTCGAGCTCGATTCGATTAAAAATAATCCATCTCGAGCTCGACTCAGTGAAGCTCGGTAAATGCTTATTAACACAACTTGTCAATCCGAGTAAAAGCTTGGCTGAAGATAAACTCAATTTTTTTTTGACAAAAGATAGTCATTATATTGATCAGAAAAAAGATAATTACATCATGGAATTTAACCAGGCCATAAAATCAAAGAAATGACTCGTAGTTGGGTACAAATGAATGGTCTTTTGAGCCACCAAATGGGCTACCCTATTACTATGACGACCTACAAATCACACACTAAGCCCACCATGAAGCACAAAATAATGCAGAACCTCAAGAAGGGCACCAATTTGACTATCTCTAGTATCCGCTCGATTAAGTTTATCAATGACCATCTTGGCGTCACCTTCAAATCTTACATTCGTGAACCCATTAGCCAGGCACCAGAGAATAGCCTCCCAGAGGGGAGCATCTTAGAGACCATAAGATCATCAGTCCCCACAAACTGAACCCAGAAGCCAAGAGGACCTCCCCATCATGGCTCAAGATTATCAATCATCCCTCCAGTCGAATGTGACTCATTCTTAGTAGCACCATCCCATCTGCAAACAACTAAGCTCGGGTGGGTTGTCCCCACCACTTGTACTAGTTAGACAGGAGCCTGAGGAGCACTATCAACTGGCAAATTGACCCATTCGTGGTATTGGAATCATAATTGCTAAAAAATGTGTACACATAAAAATTTAAATGATAAAATGATCACTATAAAGTAAAAAGAACAGCTAACTTTCATACACATTCGTATTAACAAGATAATATTCATGTTCAAAAGAGTAATTAATTCTTCCACAATCTCTAAACAAGCCAGCACGCAGGCTTACCGAATCAAGCTAGCTCACAAGCTTATCAAGCTGAGCTTGATCTAGCTCAAGTTTGGCTCGTTTATTAACGAATCGGCTTGTTAAAACCAGCCAATTGCCGAACGAGTTTTTTCCGATTCGAACACCGAATTTCTCACGAGCGACTTGACTCATTTGCAGCCTTAGTTTTGGCTAATACTATGTAGCCTCATTGGAAGGCAATATTCTTATGCGACCTCTTACTAAAGTGACATATATACAAATTCAAATCCTGCCCTATCTATAACAATATGCGATGAAAGCGAGAGGGTCACGTCTTCAAAATTTCGTTGTAGTAAAAAGTGACATAGGTATGTCACCTGCCTAGGAGGTGAAACAGTGTTCATCGCTTGTCTTGCATGCAATATTTTTCTTCCCCCGCCCGGTCAGCAAAATACCGCTGTTTTGGGAGATATCTCTGAAGTGTCGCATTTTGAATTTTTTAACATTTTCTTTTGGAAAATATCAAAATAATATACCTGTTACGAATTGTTGAATTTCAATCATTACAAGTTATTTATTTATTTAATATGTGAAAATCAAAGATGTGAGTTACTATTCTCTCAAACTCCTCCAAATGCAAGTGGACAACTTTTATGTTGTTTGTTTTCCTTCAGTCAAATATCCTTCTCTTAAACTCCACAATGTTTGAGGACTTTCTTTTTACTTCACTCTCCCATTCCGGGACTTCTGTGTTAAGCTATTGTGCGTTGAGTCTACATCTATTATCCTCTGAGTTTTTCATCGCAGTTATTGTCCACTAGGTTTTCAGCAATTGTTCACTGGTTTCTCGGTGACAGCTATTATCCACTAAGTTTTCATCTATTGCCTGCTGATTTGCCCATCAATTCATAGTCCATCTCAAAACACTGTCGACAATTTCACTTTTCAAATCCTACTTCCTTCATTAAACTAATCAAGGTCATCCCAAACTACCCTTTCACTTTTCAGTCAGAATTCAAACTATTACTCTCCGAAGTATCATGTTCTCTCGCTAACGCGAAGCGATAATGAACGGGATTATGCTAATAATTATATAAGCGGAACAAATTAGTCATGTCAAATTGTATTGGAGCAACTCTATTGTACAGTAAAAGAAGGAAGAAAAAAAATGCACCTCCAGTACAATTCTGACTAAATTGGTATATTAATGTATCATAATGTCTTCAACTGAAGTTTTCTATGCCTATAATCAACAAAATTACGACTATACTCGAATCCCACGTCAAAGGGGCAAAAGAAACAGAACAAAAGACTATGTATAGCGTCTCCTCCTTAGTCCTTACTATAACTCTGTTTTATTCAGTCCATCTACAAGCTTGAGCCCCCAAGGCACATCTTCACACCGATTCACAAGTCCAGCACCGCCGCTCGCCGTCCCTTGCTCATCAGGATAAGCAAACCACGGCGGGAAATGGAAACACGGCTCCACATTAACCGCCCTTTCACAAACCGCCGCCCATCCAGGAACATCAGGATGGTCCTTCGGATCAGGAAACGTCACAATCCACGGCCTCACCCCGCCGATCCCCGCCGCCACATACCCGAACGTCGACATTCCGCTAGTCACCAACACATCGCTCATGCTCAGCAGATACATGTCCGCCCACGCCTTCATGTTGTGCGAGCTCTTGTAAGACTGCTGTGTCTCCTCGTGGCTCGCCTGGTAAACTCCAATTTCACCACCACCACTACGACCACCGTACCTGTTCTTGATTCCTTCGTAGAATTCGCTCGACAGCGACGCTACGAGCACAGCTTTTGATGTCTCGTTGGATTGTCGAGATCGAGGCAGGATTCTTCGTGTTTCAGTGCAGGAGAGTATCTGTTTCATGACGACTGGAGTCGGGGTTGCTTGAGGGTCGAAAACCCTGATCTGGATTCCGATTCTCTGCTCTGCTTTCGCCAGGTGGGCGTCGTAGAATTTGGTGATGAGCGACCAGGCTTGATTGGAAGGGGCGAGTAGGTAATTCCCCAATTGGTGGAAGACGGTGGACTTGTTGTTGGGGAACAATTTCTCCAGTTCTGACCTGAAAGTCTGCATCTGGAACAGGCAGGGGATGAAATACCCATCCGAAATCAGAACCAGCCATGGGATTTTCTCGAGAAACCCTTGATTCTCGTCTTTGAAGAAGAGCTTGTCGTATTCGCTGTACTTATCGTCGAGGAAGATCTGCAGGAGGGTTGAATTCCACGGCGACGATGACGAGGGCGACGGCGAAGAGGAAGAAGAAGAGTCGGACGCAGTCTTTTCCTTCTTCTCCAGCAATTTCCCGTAGCTGTAGACGTCCCTGAACCAGCCGCCGTAGAGATCGGACTTGAAGGGGAAGTTTCCGGGCAAGAGCCAGGTCGAATTGGGGAACGGCTCGCAGAAGAGTTCGCCCATGTCGGCGCTGAAATCGACGAGAAGGACCCGATCCGTGAGCAGAGCGAAGAGGAAAGTCGAGGTGAGACCCAGGATCCGGTTCCCCAGCCCCTGCGAAGGCGTGTAGACGACGAATTTGCAGTCGCCTCCGGCGGAATCGTTGTGGGTTCCGAGGGGTGAAGTCGTGTTGAACGATTCCGAGAGCGGGCCGCAGCGGCGGTGGCGGCGTTCGTACGCTTGGAGCTTGGAGAGTAGATAGGGAGGCAGTTCGGGGGTTCGGTGCTTGAGGTAAGAGCTCCTCTGTTCCCGGCTTTCGCAGGTTTGTTCCGGTGGCGTCGAGCCCGAAAGGGCGAATTTCAGGGGAAAGTAAGAGATCGGAGAACAAACGGTGGCGATGAGAACAAGAGAAAGGGCGATGAAAGCGGCCGCCGCCGTGACTGTGAATTTGTTGGCAGAGCTGCCGGTGATGAATTCGGGAAGTCGTTTTCCCAATCCCATCTTGGTGCCTCCCCATCCTCCTCCTCCTCCCAGTTTTCTTTTCATGGCTGCAGCTATTGGAATTGAATTTTTTTAATTGGGGGAATTGACTGTACTAGGGTTTGTACTAATACTGGCGTCGTTAGCGTTCAACTCTGGTTGTATCGTGAATTGTTTTTACAGAGATTTTTTCTGGGAAGGTGCCCTTTCTTGAGCCATTATGGAAATCGAAGGCTACTTGGAAAAGTAGAATGAGATTATTGACTTTTCTTCCTAGTTATAGTAATTCTGATAAACGTCCTCGTCAAACCCAAAATAAATAATTCAACAACTTGCTTTGTTCGTCACGTTAGTTTTCTTCTTACACATTCCATAGAAGTTAGAAGGAAAAACTGGGGGCCGGCTGTGTTTGTGGCGGAGGAGAAGACAGCAGGAAAGCGCGTGTCACAGTGGCGGTTGATGACTAGATTCGTATAAGGCAAAATATCAAAGGAATCAAATAGGATGAGGGATATTCGACCATTACAAAAAGCTTGATCATAGCAAATGGGCATCCATAGTTTCATGGAAGCGAAGTCTTTCGAGTCCTCGTATTGATGAGGATGACTTTTCTTTATTCGCTTTTTCAGCATTCAATCTCGGGATACGATAAGAAAAACAACGGATTATTTGCATGGTTGGTCACTGAGATTACAAAAACGTTCAAATTTGGTCATTGAGGTTACAACAACAATACCATATGTGTTGTTTTTCGGGTTAATTGCATGGTTTAAATATTTCGAGTGACCAAATTTGAACGTTTTTTGTAATCTCAGTGACCAACCATACAATTAACCCAAAAAACAACACATATGGTATTATTGTTGTAACAACACTATTTAGAGGAGGTATTCGGTCGATAATCGATAACCGACTAACTGGTTATATTGAAATTCGATATGGAAATGTTGATTACCGAAACGATTTCCTGTCGGTTAACGGGCCAATCGGTTGAATTATTACTAGTTAGAAAATCGGTTATTCGATACACAAAGGGAATGAGCAACTCGCTAATTCCTCTAATCGAACTTCCGTAACTGTTAATAGTTCACTCAAACAATTTAAACCATTGCAATTTGAATTCAACCCCTAACCAGAACTCAAATAACACAAACAAATGAACAATTAATTCAAATGAAAAGCTTCGCCTAAACTCGGCTTTCTATACGCATCCTCAACAATGGCGCTAATGACAATCAAAAGCAGGAAAGCTCCAAAGGGCGACGATGACGAGTTGGAAGTTGGAACACCTCGCGTGAAAACAAATCTGAGATGTGGGTAAAACCCTAGAGTTTAAGCCTTCTCATTCACTTGTTCTGCTTCTTTATAGGCAATGAAATTACAGAAAATGACAACCAAGCTAGTACAGTTTGTCCATTAGCTTGGTGAGGAAACAAACTTAAACTTGACCAAAAAGAAATACAGGGGAAGAAGCTAATCAAAACGTCACCGCTTTGCACTTTAATATTAGCCACCTGAAAAGTTGTCGGATTGAAGTGTATTTTCAAGCATTGAATCCAATTGACCGTGACTTTTGATTTTTAGGGATTCATTTTCTGTTACCCCCCCCCCCCCCCCCCCCCCGGCCAAGCCGGTGGGCAGAGGTTGTGCACACCGAGCTTGGACAACAATTGAAGGAAAGGGCAAGGGGAGAGAGGCTTGGTGAAGGGATCGGCAAGTTGGTGGGTCGAGGAGACATGAAAGAGCTTGAGAATCTTCGATTGAAGATTGTCACGCACCAAGTGACAATCGAGTTCGATGTGCTTGGTGCATTCATGGAAGGTAGGGTTTTCAGCTATATATATTGCACTTTGATTGTCGCAATAAAGATGAGCTGGCTTGCGTGCAGGACTTGGAAGTCACGAAGAAGATAGAGGATCCATTGAAGCTCAAGAGCTCTGTACTCTGCTTCGCAAGAAGAACTGGAGACTGTCTGCTGTTTTTTGCTCTTCCATGAGATGAGTGAATCGCGCAGGTAAACACAATACCCTGTAATTGACCTTCTCGTGTCTACACAGGCAGCCCAGTCTGAGTCTGAAAATGCCTTGAGTTGAAATTGGCCTTTAGATGGGAAGAAAATGCATGTTGCTGGTCCACATTTGAGATATCGTAGGATGCGTTGAACTGCTTTGAAATGTTGAACACTTGAATTACCCATGAATTGGCTAACTTGTTGAGTTACAAAACTGATATCAGGGCGAGTAGTGGTTAGATAGATCAGTATGCCCACCAATGTGCGATACAGTTCAAGGTCTTGAAAAGGAAACTCACAATTGTTGGTAAGATGGATTTTGTAATCCATAGGAGTAGTCACTGGCCTTGATTCCAACATATTAGCTTCCTCAATGATTTCAAGTGTATACTTGCGTTGAGATAGATGAATTCCTGTGTTGTTTTTAGCCACTTCTTTTTTTTTTGGGTGAAAAGTGGGGTGCTAAAAGGGCACCCCTGCCTGGCACTAGATTAATCGAGATTGGGCAATGCCCATAGAGTCATACAGAATCCAGTCTAAAAAATTTAGCTCATGGAAACCAAAACTACAAGAATGAGCCTTATTAGCGAGGAAATCCGCCGCTTTATTCCTTTCCCTATAAGTATGAGAGATTATCACCTCCCAGTCTCTGTGAAGAAGTTGTTGCGCCATGCAATGAAGGTTATAGAATCTGCCCGTCTCATGGTCATTCGAACTGAGGAATAGGAAAGCTGTCATAGAGTCTGGATGAAGCTGCACTTTCCTGTATCCCTTCTCCCAAGCCATTTGAAGTCCATGTATTGCTCCTTTTATCTCTGCTTTTGTGATCGTGCATACTCCCAAATTGGCCAAGAAAGACCCGAGACATTTGCCACTGTGATCCCGGAGAAGACCCCCAGCCGCTGCCGCTGAATGGGGTTGTTTGACAGACCCGTCCGTGTTGATTGCAACCCATCCCTCTGGTGGAGGGACCCACGCCAGCTCCTGATTCTGCTTGAATTTGTCTCTTCCTAGCGCACGAGAGTCATTCTCCATTGCTTGTTGAATTTTTCTTGTCCAGCATTGGATACGGTAAGCAAGGGAGTGCGCCTCTTCCCATTTGTTATTGAAGATTCGCTCATTGCGCCGCCGCCACAGGTACCAAGCTGCCACTCTGAACAGCCTACCTTGATTAGCGTCCCGTAGATGAGCCATCATCCAACCTGAAAAAGTCAAGACTGCAGGTAAGTGTGTTGTCACTAATTCCCAGCTGCTGCCATACCTTTTTTGCCTCCGGGCAATGTCTAATAAAATGCTCTGTTGACTCTGGATCGGTATTGCATATGGTGCAAGTGTCCGAGCTGCAAAGTTTCCTCCTTTTCCGTTCGTAGTTGGTCATCAAGCGGTTGTGGAAGACAAGCCATAGGAAATGGCGAATCCTGTTCGGTCCACTCCACTTCCAAACTGTCCGCCAACATTTGGTATCTTGGGCTTCATTCTCCTCCTCCATTTCCCCTTTTAGCCAAGCGCTTGCTGCTGTATAAGCTGACCGGAGAAGGAACTTCCCATCATCTTCCAGCCCCCATGTCGGGATGTCCTCGCCGGCCTCCGGGATTGGAGAATCCATTCCTGCAATAAGGGCAGAGAGTTCATGAGAGACGAATGGCAGTATGTTAGGCCAGTTCCACTCACCTGTGGCCAAGCTCAAATCAGCAACTAAAGCATCCCAGATGGGCAGCTGGCTCGCCCCGGAAGTGTGCTCTTGGAGAATAATGCCATCCGCCAGCCATGGATCTTTCCAGAACTTCACTGAACAACCATTTCTCACATCCCAGATGGTGTGTTGTTTGATTATAGGCAGCGCCGTCAATATTCCTTTCCAAAGTCTAGACACACGATCGCGCTTATACATCAAGCCACCATTATTACTCTGCTTCACATATTTCTCCTGCTGGATTTTTATCCATAGCTGATCTTCATGATTGAGAAAGATCCACCCCAGTTTCATCATGTAGGCCAAGTTTAAGGCTCTTGCCGAGCGAAGACCCAAACCACCTTCTTCTTTTGGTTTACAGATCTTCTCCCAGGAAACAAGATGCGCTTTCTTTTTACCCTCTTCTCCACCCCAAATGAACTTTCTGATTTTCCTGTCAATTGTATCACAAACAGACAAAGGGAGAACAACAGTTTGCATAACATAGTTAGGTAGGGCATTAAGAACAGAAGTAGCGAGGGTAACTCGCCCGGCGAGAGAGAGGTTTTTGACTTTCCATCCCGACAAACGCTTGTCCAACTTCTCCAAGATGTACTTGTACGTTCCTTGAGTAACTCTTCCATGAATAACGGGAACGCCCAAGTACTTTCCCATGTTGTTAGTATGGGAAATACCCATCTGCCGGCTGATTCTGCTTTTAGTAAGGGCTGTCATGTTCTTGGAGAAGAAGATACAAGATTTGTCCTTGCTTATTTGTTCTCCCGACGCCCAACAAAAGCGCTCTAAACAGTCCAAAATAGCCGAGCTTTGGCTAACGCTAGCTTCTCCAAACAGCACCAGGTCATCTGCAAAAAAGAGGTGGGTTAGAGGTGTTCCATTATTGGTCAAATAAATAGGATTCCAAGCACCACTAGCAACCGAATCCTTAATGCAGTGACTTAGGCGTTCCATGCATAAAGTGAAGAGGTAGGGAGAAAGGGGACATCCCTGCCGTAGGCCGCGCGTCGGTTTAAAGTCTTCAGAGCAGCTTCCGTTCCAAAGGACTTGGATACTGGTAGTGGTGATGCACGCCATGACCAGTTCAATGAAATCATTTGGAAGTCGCCCCGCCTCAAGGGTGTTTCGGAGGAAGGACCAGTTTATCCGGTCATAAGCCTTAGCGAGGTCAACCTTGAGTACCATGATGCCCTTCTTCCCTTTCTTCAAGGACATCGTGTGGATGACTTCTTGCAGGATGATTATGTTGTCCGTGATGTGTCTTTTAGGGACAAAGCTTGTTTGGGTGTCATCCACTAGGTCAGGCATGAGTTTCTGCAGACGGTTAGCTAGGCATTTAGCAATAACTTTATAGCTCACGTTGCAAAGACCGATCGGCCTAAATTGGGCCATATTCACCGGGCTCTCCACCTTGGGCAGTAAGGCAAGAAGCGTAGCATTACTGTGACTGATCTGAGATGGATCCTGAAAACACGACACCAGATACGCTTGGAAGTCCTCGCAAATTGTCGCCCATCATTTTTGGTAAAATAAGGCGTGGAAACCATCCTTCCCTGGGGCTTTCAGACCCCCCATACTCTGAAGAATCTGTCTAGTTTCAACAATGGGAGGGGTGGCTGCCATGTCCTTGAGCCTGTCACTCTCAATGGTAGCGAAAAAAGCAGGGATCAAGATATGTCCCAACTCTTCCTCTGTGAACAACTTGCAGTAAAAGTCCTTAGCCATATTTCTGAGAGTGTAGGGATCTTCAACCCATCTCCCCTCCTCGTCTTGGAGTCTTAGAATCTTGTTCTGCCTGCGTCTTGCCAAGGTTGCGACATGGAAGAAATGGGTGTTGCAGTCACCACTCGTGATAAAATTCGCTCGAGACTTCTGCATCCAGAGTACTTCTTCTTCCCAAAGAGTCCTCTCCAAATCCTCCCTAATTTTATTCTCCTCTTGAACAAGGAAGGGGCTGCTGGCTTGGTCATTCAGCTTCTCCAAATCCTTTAATTTTATGGACAAAGCAACTTTTCTTTTCAGGATGTCGCCAAAAATCTCCTTATTCCATTTACGGAGGGTGTGTTGCAGTTCCAGGAGTGAGGGGATAAAATCAGTACCCTTTTTCCATGAAGCATTGAGCATGGGATAGAAATCCTCATGAGATAACCATGGAGCCAGGAAACGGAAGGGCCGCTGCTGTGAGTTGGGGAGGGGGGCCTTGCTTCGAACCAGAATAGGCCTATGATCGGAACGGAGTCTGGGCAAATGAGTGGTGAATGAATCAGGAAATTGAAGAAGCCATTCCTGATTGCAGAGAGCTCTATCCAGGCGTTGGGATAATCGGCCATTTGTCCAAGTGAACCGAGGCCCTGTGAAACCGAGATCAACAAAGTCACAGTTCTCAATGCACCTATTGAAGTCCTCCACTCTATGGATGTTGAACTCTGCACCCCCTTGCCTCTCCGAGGGGCTGGTAATGGAGTTAAAATCACCTAGGAGAAGCCACGGAAGAGTTGTGCGGCTGTTCATACTCCGAAGAGAGTCCCAAAACGGTCGACGATCATAGATGTTTGGCTTGGCGTAGACGGCAGTCATTGTTACCATAATATTGTCCTGCAGATCACAACAAGTAAATTGTAAGTATTGAGAATAAGAGTCAAGCACAGAGATAGACATCTCAAAGCTATTCCAAAGGACCCAGATTCCCCCGGAGAAGCCAATTGCGTCCACCTTCTCATGCTTATCAAAACCCATAGAGCTAATTACGTCTATTGCATCGTCACCACTAATTCTAGGCTCTACAATGATGACGATATTAGGCCTATGAGTTCTATTATAGTTCTTGAAAACAGAAAGAAAATTGGGGTTTTTGGCCCCTCTGCAATTCCAACTAAAGACACTAAACATAAGAAACAGATTAAAGAAAAGGGGTAGAGGAATCCTGGCAAAGGGTCATTCTGGTGCCAAATGTTCAGACTGTTGCGGCGTGTGTGTCGCCGTCGGTTGCCCGGGATCGTCAACTGGAGTTTCCGCCATTGAAGTATCCTTGGTCGTGTCCATGCGGAGAGCGCAGAATTCATTTTCCTTTCGTTTCGTTTGAGCGGTGAACTCTTCTATCGCTTGAGTTGTGAAAGGGAAGCCCTGATCTTTCACTCTCCAGGTGCCTTCTCGATTGGACGCCGATTTGGACTGGGTTTTATTTTTTGAGACTTTCAGGCGAGTTCCACTTTTCCTTCGTTTTTGATCGTCACCCTTTGTTTTCTGATAATGGTTTCTGATCGAGGAGGTTGGAGGCGAGATCGCAACAGCTTCCTCCTTTGAGTGGGCCATGTTGGGCTGGGTTAGAACTAACCCTTCCATTAGTTGTGACCCGTCGAGTAGCTTATCAATGATTGGGCCAGAGGAAGCACTTGCCTCATTATTGGGCCCATGATCCGATCCCTCTTTCAGCCCAACCTTTCTCCATTCCAACGAAGTGTTTTTAGGGACCTTTCTTGTAGCTTCTTCCCCTGCATTAATCACCTTCCCTTTTTGGCTCTGGGTATTTCCTTTCTTTTGCTCTTGCTTAGCAGGAGCCTTTCCTTTGTTCTCTTTTGAGCCCGTTGAGTGATTGGCGTCACTCTTTCCCGAATACTCCCCACGGTAATTTGAGTTGCCATTTTTGTTGGATTGCACACCCTGATTATGCCCTTGATTCTCGTTCCCTTTTTAGGAATTCTTCCGACTCTTCCGCGTGACCTGCATCCATGGCCCGTAGCCGGCGGGAGGCTCCGGTTGCAGATTTTCCGGTGGTTGTTGCCCCGCCGTCGCCATGTTGTCAGATTGTTGAATCATCTTAACTTTCGTCGCGCATCTATCTTCCGTGTGTACGATTCGTCCACACTCATAACAAATTTGAGGGAGGTTTTCGTACAAAATTTGTTGCCAGGCGCCGTCGAGTCGGATTCTCGTTGGCAATGGTCTAGTCATATCGAGCTCTACAGCAATCCTTGAAAACTTTCCCCTCTGTAACATCTCTGTATGATAATCCAATTTCACAGTACGCCCAATGAGGTTACCGAGAGCGAATAAGACCTCCCGATGGTAGAAATGAACGGGCAGCTCCGGTAGCTGAACCCAGGCTACCACGGATCGGTGGGGTTTATCTGATGTACGAAACGTCGGCGTCCATTGATGAACGACTAGGTAGTGATCCAGGATCTCCCACGGACCGCCAGTGAGCGCTTGAAGGTAGTCTTGATCGTTGTTGAATGTGACAAGGAAGGTTTCGTTGTTGAGGTCCATTATATCTAATGATCCCGATGGTCGCCATTTCCTTCTGAGTTGGGAACACAGATATGAGTAGGACACCGATCTCCCAAGAAGTCTCAGGACTAATGTTTTCTTCCATGGGTCACATAATCTTTCCCTGAATTTGTCGGATACCTTCAGTTCTGGCTCGCCGGCGTAGGTGGTGGCTTCCAGATCATGCTCGCCCACAAACGTCCACTGCTTTGCTGTACGCCTGTTTTCATCTGATTGCCCTGCCAAGACTGCTTTGTAACTTGAAGGTGGGCTACCATTAGGAACAGTGGTTGACACAGGTGATCTTGGCCCCTGTCCAGGGTCTGGCGGTCTTTCGGTCAAGGACAGGGTCAGCGCCGGAGACGGAACGGGGGAGGTAGTCGAGAGCATTATTTGGTTAGTACATTTGTTACTAAGATACTCTTATTGCCGAATTCCATACCAATGAAAAACCTTAGAACACCCAAATCTTTAATGCTGAATTCAGAATGAAGAAAGTCTTTGAGCTGCTGAATTGCCACTAGATCATTGCCTCCCACCAGTAGATCATCAACATAGATTATAATGCAAGTATAACTGGAATAAGTTACATTGTAGAACAAAGAATGATCTGCCTTGCTTTGAGAATAGCCAACATGCTGAAGTTTATCAGTCAGCTTAGAGAACCATTGCCTCGAAGCTTGCTTAAGGCCATAAATTGATTTCTTGAGTCGACATACTGGATTTTTGAAACCAGGAGGTGGTTGATAGCCCTTAGGAAGGGTCATGTACACCTCCTCTTGTAAATCACCATGTAGGAAGGAATTATTCACATCCAGTTGGTGGATATGCCAATTCCTTAAAGTAGCAACAACTAGGAATGTTCTGATTGTTTTCATTTTAACAACTGGAGCAAAATTATCTTGATAATCAACCCCTTCCTGCTGTGTATGACCCTTTGCAACAACCCTTGATTTAAACCTTTCAATAAACATCTTCTTGCCTGGTGGCAGTTCAACAACATCACAGGTCTGGTTTTGAAGGAGAGCTCTAATCTCATGTTGCATCGAATCATTCAGCTGGATGTTTGGTGGAATTGGAGATGGTAAAGGAGTAGGTGAGGAAGAACGAGCAGTGGATGGAGTCGATTGAGATAAGGGATTTTAGAATGAGACATGTGTCCTAATCTGAAATGCCATAAATAAAAAATGTTTGATCTTGCAACTGTGATGATCTTAGGATTACTAGGGGCTTCTAGGTAGTAAAGGCCATTTGTCAATCTAGCAGAACCAGTCACTCTCTTCTGCTCCAGGTCCTGTATGACACAAAGGTTGGAATGAAATGTCAAACTTAGTGAATACTGATAAGTGAGTTTGCTGACTGAGACTAAATTGAAACTGAATCCAGGAACAAAGAGAGCATCCTTAAGTATCAACTCAGGAGTGCAATGGACGTTTCCTTTGTATGTGGCAGGAATTTGTTGGTCGGTAGGCAGTGTTATGTACACACCAGATATAGTTGTAGGATGCATTAAGTAATCTAGGCAAGAAACAATATGATCAGAGGCACCAGTGTCTAGAATCCATGTAAAGCTGTGGTTGGGATTGATGTGGTTTGGTGCAGATAAGAAACATGTACCTGAAGGTGTAGTAGTAGTGGTGAAAGCAACAGCAGTGTGAGTAGAATGCTGCCTAGAGTTCCCAACCAGAGCCATCAGCTTGTCATAATCTGCCTTTGTGAGTTTCACAGAATCATCTGGAGCGGTGACTATAGAATGAGCATATCCCCTGCCTCTACCATAGGAGGAAGTAGTAGTCCCGGGAACATAGTTTGCAGGGAAACCATGTTTCTTAAAACATTTATCCTCAGGATGTCCATGTTTACCACAGAATGTGCATTCAATAACAGTGTCTGATGTATTCAAAGGAGAGGGCCTTGTAGACATTCCTGGTGGATACCCATGTTTGACAAAGCAAACATCCTCTGTATGGCCTTCTCTCTTGTAAAAAACACAGTAGGGCCTTTTTTGAGTTGTATTAGACCTTCTGGTAACACCTTGGATGGCCAGAGCAGAGGTATCAACAGTGAGGGAAGCAATCAGCTTTCCACGCTGAGTACTATATAACTACCTCTCATGTGGAGCATTCTTTGAAAAACCCTATTAATATTTGGTAATTCCTTCCCAAATAGAACTTGGGATCTAACAGCTGAGAAGTTCTCATTTAACCCTCGTAAAAACTTAATGACATAGATGGTTTCTTGATATTCGTGAACCAGCTTCATAGCTTGACAAGTATTGTGACTTGTAGTGGTACAAGCACAAGGAATCAAAGGTTGGTAATTATCTAACTCATCACGAAGTGTATTAACCTTGCCATAGTACTCAGTAATGGTTTGTGTACCTTGCTTCAAGTTACAGAGTTCTTCTTCAATTTCTGCAACTCTTACAATGTCACCAGAACCATATATGGTTTGCAAAATCTTCCAAGCCTCTGCTGCTGATTTGCTTGAAAAAATGGTCTTTCGGATTTCTGATTCGGCTGCTTGTTGTATCCAGCTGAGGATCATGATGTTGTTTCTGACCCAGGCATTTCTCTTGGGATCTGTTTTTGCAGGCTCAGGAATGGCACCATTGAGGAAACCCAGCTTGTCCTTGGCAGCAAGGGCGTTGAACATGGCGCGACTTCAGTCATTGTAGTTTGCTGGTGTGAGTTTCTTGCTGACCAAGAGGGAACCAGGTTGCTCAGAACCGTGATATGGATCTTCCATAGGGTATGGTGTGCTTAAGGCTTCACCAGATGTAGTAGCATCATGGTGGGTTTCGTTTGTAGCCATGGCGACGCCTAGGGCTCTGATACCATTAAAACAAATATGAGATGTAGGTAAGACCCTAGAGCTTAAGCCTTCTCATTCACTTGTTCTGCCTCTTTATAGGCAATGAAATTACAGAAAATGACAACCAAGCTAGTACAGTTTGTCCATTAGCTTGGTGAGGAAACAAACATAAACTTGACCAAAAAGAAATACAGGGGAAGAAGCTAATCAAAACGTCACTGCTTTGCACTTGAATATTAGCCACCTGAAACATTGTCGGATTGAAGTGTATCTTCAAGCATTGAACCCAATTGACCGTTGCTTTTGATTTTTAGGGATTCATTTCCTGTTATTGCGAAGCCACCGCGACGACAATGACGATTCAGTTCCGTGAGGATAATGCAGTGCTGGGTCGGGGATCGAGAGCGAGCAGACTTTTCCACTTGTCGTCTTCTCTACGTGAGGTGGAGACGAGGAGGAGGAAGTTAGATAGATAATGAAGATGGAGCGGGCGAGCGGCGTGCGTGAGGCCGATAGAGGCTAACACAAAATTAGACTTAGGGCGGGGTTGCTATCCACCGTCGTTTTGCCCTGCCAAAAACCTGGGTTCTAGTATCAGTTTACCGGATTACCTACGGTATTTTACCGGCTATCAGTCAGTATACTGTTGACAACCTATAGCCCACCGTCAAATGTTATCATCAATAACCGTTTATATATACTGTTAACCGGGTTACCTTGCTAGAAGGTTGTCAACCCGCGGGTTGATCCGAACCCGGTCGAGCTAGTAGGTTAAGGGGTAATGGGTCAACCGTTTTAGCCCAATTTGACCTGGAAATATGGAAAGAGTCGTTATATTGTACTTATCCTCATAAAATATATCAAATCTTATCTAACATATGAGTTATAACGTATAATATTATACCAAAATAACATATCGTACTTAGATCCAACATATAGTGAAAATTGACACACTTATATAACATAAATATTCAAATGTTCAACTTAGGATTCCAAAGATTGAGTTAGGCGAATTTTTTTTTGGAAAATAGGCGGATTTCGCAAACTAAAGAAAAAAATGACATAATTTGACCTCCAACCCGGTACTTGTAGCGATCGGCCCGTTTTTCTCATCGGGTCAGGGTCAAATTGGGTCGACCCGCTAGTTGACAACCTTGCGGGTAGTCATTAAAGATAATTTAGTAAATTAACTAAAAAAATGTCAATTACGATTAAATTAGACAAGAGGCATGTGTTGTTGGACAAACAGAACATTTCCCCCCCTCTCCTTCGTTGCAATTTTGACATTTGTTCGGTCGATGGTGTTGTTCTTCCATGCCGGCGGAGTTTTTTTGATAATGGTGATGAAAATTATATTAAAACGGCAAAGAACAAAGAAGTTCAAAGCTAGTACAAACAAAAAAGAAAGAAGAGAAGTCGGTTCAGAAGCACTGAACACAGCAACAGAAAACCCAAAAGGAAGACAAGAACAAAGCAAAGAGGCGAGAGCCCATCAATCCATAACTTCAGCAACAAGCAAAAAAGGAAAGCCGACTCGGCAAGCTCAGAAAGGATCCACCGTGCTAATAGTCACGCTCTCGTTGATAACCACTTTGTATTTTCGACACTGGAGTCTGGACGGTTACTGTATGCGATTCGAAAAGAAGAAAGCTTCGAGATATCCAAATTGCCTTCTACTCATCGCTCTCCGCTCTTCATTTCGCCCATTCCGCCGTTGATGTTGCATTTTCCATTTCCAGGATTCTTTTACATAGAATTTGTCGGAGCTTCCTCTTATCCACGCTATAAACCCTAGTTTTCAGTTATGCGTTATGGTATTTTTGTATTCGATTTTTTTGGCATGCATTTTTCCCTGCTGTGTTTCCTCTGTCATACAAGAAGAGAAAAAATGTTCCCATGACATGGCATATATGAAGAGACTTGCAACAAAGGAAAGGGGAAAAAAAATGTTCCCATCAAGCTCAAAAGGAAAAATCAATGGACGAAAATCAAATATCTAAGAAGAGGAAGCTTTAGACTGATGATGAATTTGAGTAGAGCAAGGGTGACGGTCCTTCTTAGGCAACTTGACTGCGCAAGAATAGGCATTGGTGCATTCTTCAAAAGATCTTCGAGATGATTTATGAATAACACAACATATGTCATGGTTTAGAGAACACATCTCACAACCCAAGCCGTGACATTTA